TCCCTTTTTATTGTAAAGTATTATTTTGATCGCTTGCAACAGTTCGCATATATTCTGCTCACTTGTAACAATTCGCGCGTAATATTGCCTATGTAAACAAACTGAATTGTAAATTGCACTCATGTATGGTAAAGCGAACAGCAATTGAAAGCCAAATGTATTCTCATTTATTTACAACAAAAATTGTCAAGACCCTATTAATTCCAAAGGGGGGCAGTCTCATTGCGCTACGCCTGGTCGGTGGGGGGATCTTTTGAAGCAAGACCCGAACCCTCTGCTTGGTCGGACCCTCGGGCGGCGGCTGCTGCTGCTTGATCATCTTCCCTCGCCAAGATTTGCAAGGTCTCTTGCCACCCCTGTGGGAGGTCGGACATATCCAGATCTAGGTTCTTTGGTCGCAGTGTATAAATGGACCCGATCGCCCAGTCGACGGCCTTATCCTCGATCTCCTCAGACTGGATCCGCATTTCTTCGGTCAGGGAAGCAATTTTTTCTCGACTCTCCTGGAGTTCGGCCTCAAGAGCTAGCTTTTCATTTTCGGAGGCCTCCCTCTCTTGCTCTGCTCGCTAGGCCCGTGTGAAGGTCATCTGGAGCTCCTGGTCTTTCTCTCCGACCTCCTTAGAGAGCCTAGTTGTTGTCCTCTGGAGCTCTTTTATTTCCTCCGCACTTCGCTCAAGCTCCGCTTTTTGGAAGTCAACTGTCCGCATAGCAGCCATCTTCTGGTTCAGATATCTGTTCGCTACCTCAGCGGACAATGCTCTTTCCGACTCAACGTCGTCTAGGCTCTCTTTGAGCTTCGCAATCTCATCTTTCAGATCGTTTTCCCCCTTCGCGGCCCCCAGCCGAGCTTTCTCTAGGGACATTCTCATGGCGAGCAGAGCCTGCAAGCAAAAAAGAGTTAGAACGCAGAAGGCGGACATTCTTACAAGAACAATTCGTTTACCTTGCTTAAGTGTTGAAACGACGTGGTCATTAGGTCGACATCGCCCGAATCGGCGAACTGATCATATGACTCTGATAGCCCACACTCAAGTAGAGAGTAGACTATCAGCTGCAGGTATTTAGGCAGGTTCCCAAGTGCGTTCAGCACTGGTGTGTCCTTCGCCTTGTCGGCGGCCACCGTCTCTAGTTAGAGTCATGAAAGTGACTCTATTTTGGTGATAAAAATACCCCATGTGTGATTAAATTGAAGTATATTGAGATAATTAAAGAATTTATGAATTTATTCACGAAAATCGCTTCCTAATATTTTTCTTATGAATTTAACGTGTTTGGAATGATTTTGGAAAGTATATGAGTTGATATTAGGTTGTGGTTTATGGATTAAGGGTGATTTTGTCTCATTTATGTTGTTTAGGGGGTAAAATGTCATGTTTTAAGGGGCTGATTTTGTCACTTTTCAATTGTGCAGGGACTAAACTAATATTTTACAAATTATTCTATAAAAGAAAAGTGCAGATCGCGTTTTCCAAGAGGCTGTTCACCCAATTTTCCGGCGAGCTCTGGCGACCCTTCGTCTCCCTTCGGCGACGATTCATCTCCCCATGCATCGATCCGTTGTCAGTCACCGCAAACCACCGTGAAACGCCATACAACACCGCGACGCTTCGCCTTCCACCACCGCGTCGTTTCATCTTCCCGCCAGTTTTGACCGTTTTTCGACGTCGTTCCAGCTCCCCAAGGGTAGATCTTCATTCCCCACAGCCGGATCTACACTTCCCTAGCTTCAGCCGCGGCGAAAACCGTCGGAATCCGTGATTTAGCCGCACCAACTCTTCATCTTCCAGGCTAGATCCTGCTTATTTCTGGTGACTTCTCACCTCCCCAGGACCTGATCTGAACTCCCCATCACCAGAGCTTTCCATCAGTACCTTCGGATCCCATTTCCGTCATCGTTTTTCGAAGACCCGCCGGAAAATTAACGTTTTTCGGCGAACCACGGCTGTTCGTATTCTGGGTTGTCTGTTGGTTGTTTTCGCCCCTTCTTTGCATCATATCGCTATCGGTTACCTCCTCTCCGCCATGGTCAGCTCCGTTTCCACCGTTTCGGCCTCCGTCATCANCTCCATCAATCCAAAGCAAAGGAGTAGGTATAATCTCTTTTCCAAGCTTTGTTTGAAAACCGGTTTTAGAATCCATGCTTTCATTCTCCATCTCCACCACTCTTCATGCATGCTGATTCTTTCACTTGCCCGACCTCTTTCTGACGTCCCGCCTCGACCGTAGTGGTTCTTCCTCAGACTCGGTCTCTGACTCGTCAGCCTGAATCTGCTTCTTCTTCTTCGACCGCTGGGCCGGAGCCTTTCGTTTTGGGCGAGCAGGAGGTGGCTGTGCGACCTGTTCTGTTATGGTCGCTTCTTGTTTAGGACGAGTCTGGGAAGGCGCAGCAGTTCGCGTCGATTGTACCGCTGTGGGGCGAGCAGCTTCGGCCTCCCTTTCTCTCCTCGATCGGGGGAAATTGAATGGTGCTCGTCGGGGCTGTCCGGACTCTTTCGGAGGCATGGTCGCTGCATATAAGTACGTTAGTAACTAAACAAAAACTATTCTACGACCAGAAGGGGATTAGTGTAACTTACATTCTGGGGACTCTAAAGACGCGTTCTCACTAAGAAAACCGTACTTTCGTAAGTTCGCGGTCATCACGAGCTTCATCGCGTCCTGGCTTTCTTCGAGGAGGACTCCAAAAGACACGAGCCTGTCTGGGTCGGTGAGCAAGTCTTGGCTGGTCGTCTTGTTAACTGCAAAAGAATGCAGGCCGTTAGAATAAAGGAGGCCTACAGCCAATGAACCTAGCGAAGAAGAACCTACTTGGGTTTTGAAAGTGGTAGTGGCCGTCGTAGCAGAAAAAGAAGAACTTCGTCTCGTAGGCCCTCGCATTGCTGGGATAGCTATGTATCCCTTCGGCGATGGTAGGTCGCCGGGACAAGTAATAGGAGTCCTTGTCCTTACTTTTCTTAAGAAAGTATGCGACGCCGAGCTCCGCTGTCGTTAGCTCGCCCAAGCCACTCTCGCGGCACGCGATGTACATCGCGACTGCGATGACATACGCGTTTGGCGTCAACTGCATCGGTGCGATCCCGAAGTGATCCAGGACCGACCTAACAAAAGGGTGGAAATGAATCGTCCCCTCACCCTTGAAGATCTCTTCGGAGATCGCGGCTAGTCCATCTGCAGGATGCCGCGATGACCGGGTGGTGTCGAGGAACACCTCTGCTCGGACGTTGAATTATCTTTTTATCCTCTCAAACTCTTCTCGAGTGAGAACTGAGAAGACATCGAGGGATGCGTTCGCGGGAACATCCCGCGAAGATGAACCAGCTCCTTCCTCAGGTCGGGACGTTGAAGGTTCCATTCCGGAGTCTGCAACACTGACAGACAGAAAGTCATTTTAGCCATCGCACGTTGCCTAGCACGGTGGCGTGGAACAAAGTCCCTAAACCCTAAAAGTAGCTCGAGCCGCCCCCCAACGCCGTTGCACCCCAAAAAAAAAAAAAAAAAAAAAAGAGACCTTACCTTCTAGGGCGCGTGACCGAGGACAGTTCCTGTTTCGGATATCGGAGAGATGCCAATCTCAAAAGAAGAACTTTCGGTTTGCAAAAGTTTTTCACTCGAGGCAAAGAGGGTTCTGGTGGCATCATCTGAAAAAAGTTCAGCTTTTATATGGACTATGAATCGACGGTTACCACCCCTCAGAATCGAAACGACGCACTTCTCTCTCTCCACATTAAATGCGCCCCACGTCGCATTCAATGTTGTGATGAGGGTTGTCGTTTCGAATATATTGTGCAATTAATGCTCTGTCAAAACAGCGCTGGGTCAGCACACAACACATTTAATGTGCCTGGCAGACGCCTGACATGCGCAGAGCGCCTGTCAGCGCAGAGACAACCTCATTTAGTTCATCTCTAAAGCAGTAAGGAGCGCCCGATGAAGCCAGGTCGCTTAGGTGATGATTGTCAGGTCGTTCGGGCGAGGTTTGTGCGAGGATGTGTTCACAAAAGGCCCTGTCCGGAGCTCCTTCCATTCAGGTCGAAATTATCAGAACCTCCAATGGCGGCATGACTTAGTTTCCAAGGTTCGATCCTCAAACCTTAAAAACTAGGGGACTTCTGTTACGCCTGGGAAATCAAGGGCTGACGTAGGAAATCACGTGATTGGGGGGGGGGGGGGGGGGTGACCTGCTACCCAGTCCGGACACTGTAGCTCACAACGTCAGGCCTGCACATACTACGAAGCTCCCCGTGCCCATCTCCCTGCTCCAAATCGCGTGAAATCAGTTTGGAAGGTGGGAAATGTGACATAAACCAGATTTAATCCTGACATTCACACAACCCATGGATTTAATGATGATTACTTGCACTCACCTCACTATAAAAGAGGAAGACCCCTTCATTAAGGGGATTCGGCTATTTACACTTGGAATTAGCTCTCTCTCTCTCTCTCTCTGATAACTTTGTATTTATTTTTACCAATCATTTGTAAGTCAGTCCGTGTTGCGACCTGACTCACTATATTAATACAAATCAGTGGACGTAGGACTTACTACCTTAGCATCCGAACCACTTTAAAAGGCTCTCATTGCATTTACTCTACATTCTACCCATAATCACGTGTATCTCTTGACCAATCAACGTCACAACGTGTCGATTAGTTGGTGCCAAAAATCACGCATCACAATGCCTATTTTCTTTGCTCGAGAAAAGCGTTTTCTTAAGAAGTTGCCTTTTTATCCGGGAAAAAAACCCTTTTTTTTTTTTTATTATCCTGATTAGGCTCTAGGAGTAAAAGAAAAAACGAGTTTGATTTGTTAAAAGTGCTTTCTGATGGTTTCAAAGCACCGTGAATTGATTTTCTGAAGCTTACCTTTCTACATTTGAGTTAGGCCGTGTTAGTATAGTATGGTATATTATAGTATAACAGAGATTGATTTATCTAAATATTGAGTTTCTTACTGTAAAAATTTTCATTAATTATAAGCTTTTCTCTTCTGTTTCTTGCAGAAAATTTTAGAGAAGAATGATGCGGGAGATCATTTTCCATTATATGCCATTTGCTTAGGCTTTGAACTTTTAACAATGATCATTAGCAAGGTAAATTTTTTTTGTTTTTTATTTGTCAGACCACATCATTCTTGTGCTTAGGTGAAAAATGATTTAAACTATAGGATTCCTTGGTATATTTTAGTGAAGTTCTTTATTTTTTTATTTATTTTTCTGAATACGGCTTTTGTTTTTTTTCCCTTGATAACAGAACACAAACATTCTTGAATCATTCAATGCAGCAGATCAGGCATCGACTCTTCAGTTCATCAGAAACACTAATATTGATGGAACTGTGTTTCAAAGGTAAATGATTTTCATTATTTTAAAAGGACTTTACTGTGAATACACGATGATCCTAATATCCTATTACTCTTATTACGGTTAACACTTCTAAGCATGCTTATATTCATATGCATTTTTACAGATTTCCACCAGATTTGCTTAAAAAGTTGAGCACAGATTGTCTTGTCATGCAAAACCACCATGTGAGTCACTTGTGCTTCTTCTATTGCTTAACATGTTGTGCATTTCTCTATCCAAATTCAATTAATTGAAAGGATCTTTTGGGGTTGTATAAAAGGTATTGGGATTTAACACTGCTCACACCAGGGGTAGGGACGTGTTTGGTTTAAATTTATAGGTTTGATAAAAATAATAAGTGCAGTGTGAGAAAAGAAAAGAAATTATGTACCCTCGTTTTTGATATATGTATATAATACAATTTTCATTGTTCAAAAGAAAGTGGAGATGCTTTTTTTTTTTTTTTTTTTTTTTGGCATTGTAATATAGAACTAAAATGATTTTTGAAGTATAAAATTCATTTTATATATTCTTCTATCTTTATATTCTTTTTACCCTGAAATACCCCAGACCTGCTTCACGAACTCAAGTTTGAAAACTGACCTCTGTCTCCTCTTTCACATCCCCAGTTTGTTTGTTTATTATCGGGAAAGCAGTCAAAGGATATTCTGGCCCTTGAAACAATACAAAATAAGCTAAGCCTGGGGGAGAAAATAATATTAGTGTCTCTTATGAATAATCTTTGCTTGATTAGGTAGACTTACTTCCAAATTTTGCTCTGTGGTTTTCCTCTTTGATTCAAAGTCCTGAAATTAGTTCATTTTTATGTACTTTATTCAATTTATTTCTTAAGATGCTGGTCTTAGAGTTTCAGAGATGGACTCTCCAATATTTTTCAAGTGATGTTATCATTTCAAATTTTGCCATATAATTTTTCTTTCTTTTTAATCATACATGTGAGACTAATCTTTCAATGCTATATCAGTTGGGATCTAAGAATTAGGATATATAGTATTATTCATATGTTTTATTGCTGCATGGTGTTTGAATTATTTTTAGGTTAATTGAAGTTTATGTGTCTTCTTTTCAACAGTATAGCATTTCACCAGAGAGAATGCAAGAGAACTTGGATCTATCTAGGTTTTTTAAAATTTTGACAACAAGTGCGGATGGAGATGATAAGGTAAGGTTCATAATCAAATTTTTATTTTTATATTGATATGTGGGCTCAGGAAATAATTACGACATGCTTTAACTCAATATGAATAGTCTACTGGAAGAATTCTAATTATGGTACTCATAATTTCAGGTCTATGTCTCTACAGTACAAGCTTATAACTATCCTGTGACTGCTTTCCAATGGCATCCAGAGGTATTTACCTCAACATGCTTCACACTGTTCCATGTGTGCTCCATCACATATGGTTTATTATTTTGACTATTGGATGTATGGAAACATTCTTTTTGACATTTTACTTTTTATCTATATTAAATATATTTAGCTTAAAAGAAAAAAAAAAATTCTGCAAATCAAATTCTGATGAGTATCAATGTTGTTGAAGGTCTAACTTATCTGAGTTTGTTTTAAGAAATAAATGCTGTCAAATTATTCAAGGCAACTATACTAGATCGTATGTCTGGGTTTTATGAAGGGTGAAATGCATGGTCACTTAATGTGTGGTTCAGACTGAGCTTCATGCTGTCTTGATTGTCTGATATGATGTTATTTTATAGCTAGCTTCAATAATCTGTAATTTATGTTAAGAAAAATTCAATATTCCATATTGATGTGCCTTTTTTTGGCTTAACTAGATTGCAAATTATTTTCAGCTCCGTTCCTGTGTACTTATGTGTCCACATTTATGTTTGTGTTAAATATTTTTCTTCCTCAATCTGTTTGCTGTTATTGAGTAGAATATTACTAGATCTCTTGGTAATGCTACTGATTTCAATTAAGGTGAAAAGACTAATCAATTGCTCTGCAGAAAAATGCTTTTGAGTGGGGGTTATCGGGAATTCCCCACTCGGAGGATGCCATTCAGGTGACTCAACATGTTGCAAACTTTTTTATCAGGTTAGTTCTTGATAACCATGAAAGTCTCAATGGCTTATATTGTAAAAGTTAAATTTATGCTCACTGCCCAAGCAATAAAGTTAATAGTATTCAACTGGCAATTTCTTGCATCTCTTTTGTATTTTCTAGTCAAGGCTATGTAACTGTTCTTTGGATGTTCTTTACAAATAGTGATGCTTAAAATGCCAGGACCTAGTGTTTAGTTGTCAAAAAAAGAGACTAGGTTAGGACTTTGCATTTGTGCATAACTATAATGATTAAAGGTGCTGAGGCTGATATCAACTGTATGTCTGTTTTGCAGTGAGGCTAGGAAGTTGATGAACAGACCGCCTGCTCGAAAAGTGCTTGACAACCTTATCTACAATTACAGTCCCACCTACTGTGGAAAGGCTGGGTAAGTGTTACTGTCCTTGAATCCCAAGTGGTATGTTAAGGCTCATTTGGTATATTGTTTTTAGAAAATGGACTTGAAGAATAAAACGGGAAAAGGAATTTTGTTTTTGAGGGTTTAAAAATGCCTTCGGTATCACTTCTTTGAAACTATATAATGAAAATGCATTTGGTGCTGATTACTTACACAAACTAATAAAAAGTATGAGATCAATACGAAAGTTACATAATCGTTGTTAAATCAAAGATTTATTATTTTGATGATGATACTGAAACCCATCTAAATTTACATATAAATTTATTGATTTAGTTGTTGTATGATGTCTTGACTGCAGGAAGGGATACGATGAAGTATACATTTTCACATGACTTCAATCGTGAATTTTCTGTAAAGGTAACAAACTTGAAAAATGTAATATTGTTGTAGACTGTCAAGGACTGTTTTAAAGACCATTAGTTTTACTCCACCACATCAAGTAGAACGTACTACCTATTATCAACATTAATTAGACAGGAAAATTTCGTAAATAATTTTATTGTAACACAATGACCTATACGGAGGGCACCATCTTAAATAAATATTTAACTATCGCAATAGCTCCGCTGCTGGTTTTAAACTGCCGGCACATTTTTGTCCTGAGCTTCTTATGGCAGATTTTGTTTCTAAATGTCTTACTAGACCTGCACTTAGATGACTTGAAATTCCCGTCGTCTCTATTTCTAGTTTTAGCTTTGTGCTAAACCACACAAAAAAGGAAACAAATAGGAGTTTGCTACTTAGGGTGAGCTGAACTTTGTTTTAAAACCTGGATCGGATTGGACCAGCCGGTTAGACGGGGAGTCGGCCTTTACTCCAGTCTAGGTTAACATAAAAATCGGAAATGTCATTAAATTTGCTTTGGACCGACAATGGACTGATGGAACAGTACAAGACCGTCGGTCCGATTGGCCCAGGGCTTAAAACGGTTTGTTATTTTTGGGTATCTAATCCTAAAAAATTCATATTCCTAATTCCTAAACTAATTTGCAGCATCGTTTCATTCTCCATTTCATTTGAATAAAAAAACCAAATTGCATCTTCCATTTTCATCTTCTATTCTTCTTCACTTACTCTAAAATCTATAGTGTAAAGAAGAAGAAGTAAGGGGAGGGGACAGAAGAAGAAAGAGAAGAGAGACAAGAAAAAGAGTAAGGAAGAAGATTAGAAGAAATAAAAGAGGAGATGAAGAGAAGGAAGAAGAAAGAGAAGAGGAGAGAAAAATTACAATAGAGAGAGAGAGCGAAAAAAGGAGAAAGAAGAAAGTGATGGGGAGACAGAAAAAAGGAGAAAGATGGAAGTGATGGGGAAAGAGAAAAAAATAATTAATAATAAAATCTTTGGGGTGTATTTGCTTTATTTTAAACTTACATGGGCTTATAGGGAAATTTTAGCGATGTATTTGCTTGTTTTCAAACTTATAACAATTAATGGAATTGTTTAAAGATGTGTCTGTTATATACCGGTCCAATCGATTGGACTGATCAACCTGTGAACCGGCCTCTTGATCGGGTCAACGAGCAGTCCGATTTTTAAAACAATGGAGCTGAAATCAATGTTGGGCGTTTCAAGGGTGGCATTTTTCCCTTGGTGATTAAGGAGACAGCTTCCAGAGTATCAAGAATCTTCATTCATTGTAACACAGTTATTATTTGAAACAAGGTGTGTATAATTTTATGAGATCAAGATGGTTGAAACCTGAAATTCATAAGAGAAAGAATAATGGGGGCAGAGGAGTTTGCTCTAATATATAATGCAATATGATGCTGGGCATCAATTGATTTGCTATTGCTGACATAGACAACAATTTCATTAGATCAATACAATAAGTATCCTACTGCTTTAGTTGACTTCATTAAATCCATATATCTTGCTGATACATTATTTCAAAAGAAAAATAAAATAAAGTACAGCATATTATCAACATTATTCTAACGATATGCCTAATGCAGACACTAATTTCTTCTTCCATTGTGTTTCTTATGCAACCTTCTCATCCCTTCAAATACAATTGCTAGCCAGAGAGGTTTTCCAGTTGAAAATAAAAGATATCCCATAATCATTCCCAAATCCATTCCAGATCCATAATCCATCATCACCGCTTTCCAACCAAATTTTTTTCCACAGTTTGTAGCATTTCCTGATATTGAGGATGGTTGCGGCGCCTCATCAGCGTTGCATTCATTTGACAATGGAAGTCTACATAATCTCAAGTTTCCGCTATAAGAATCACTGGAAAAGGATTCAAATTGATTGCCTTAATAGGTCCTTCAAGTTGTTTATGAGACAGGTATAGGACTGCAAGAAACGTCATTCTTTTCAACTGCCATGGAATTTTCCCATGAAGTCTGTTTGAAAAGAGGTCTAAGGATTCTAGATCTGCGAAATTTCCCAATGACAAAGGGATGTTGCCAGTTAGGAAGTTTTGCGAAACGTTGAGCAGTCGAAGTGATCGAATCTTTCCAATTAAATCAAGAATTCCCCTATGAAAACTATTGTTTGAAAAGTCAATGGTACTGAAAATAGTGAGAAACTTCGCCAGTTCAACCTCATTCTTTTTTACTAGCAATGTCACTGAATGTTCATAATATGATTCACCCATATACTGCAAATTCCTTTTAGCCTCACCACTAATATCCATCACAGATTTCATGTTCTCAAAGTACCTTGCTGGTAGCAAACCACTAAAATTGTTGTTCAAGAGATCAAAGATTCACAACTTAGAGAATGAATTTTTCACCACTGGATCACCGACTAGACCATAAAATTTATTGGAGCGTGGAACAAGAACTTGTAATGCCGGAAGAGTTCCCAACGACTGCAAAAATGTATCATTTATGTTGTTTCCGAAAACAGAATTTCCAACATTGTACAATTGACTCCATTAAAGTGTTTTAATGTTAGGGTCATGAAAATGACTCCATTAAAGTGATTTAATTGAATATATATTGAGACAATTTATGAACTTATTGATGAAAAATTGCATTCTAATTTTTTTACGAATTTTTCACGTTTGGAATGATTTTAGAAATGGTGTGAGTTGATATTAGGTTGTGGTTTATGGATTAGGGTTGATTTTTCTTATTTATGTTTATCAAAGGGTAAAATGTCATGTTTCCAAGGGGTTGATTTTGTCACTTTTTAAATGTGCAGGGACTAAGGAAATTTGCCACATTTTCCATAAAAGGAAAGTGAATAGTTGTGAAAATGCAACCAGCCGCCTCCCATCAAACCCTAGCCACCTTACACCATTTTTCGGCGACTCTTCATCTTCCAAAACTTCGATCGGCCATCATCTCCTTGAAGATCTTTTGCCGCTATTCATCACCATTTTCACCGTCGTGTCTCTTGGTATTCCGGTTCTCCGGCGTCGATTCGTGGCGGTCATCCTTCCCTTAGCGTTCCCCAACATTTCCGTCGCCGTTCAGCCACCGCCGTCGTGAGCATTCCAACCGTGGTTCTTCCACTTCTTAGTGTCGATTTGTCTCCCAAACTGCCGATCATCTCTCCTACAGCTCCCAGCCACCTTGCTGTCATAGTTTTAGCCGCAGCCGATGTGTTTTGACCGAGATCCGCCGTCACCAACGATGATCGTTCACCTTTTGGTGTCCTTTGGTCTTCCCCAGCCACCAATCTCTCATTACAGTTGTCGACGACGTGTTTCCCACATTTGGCAGTGACCGGTTAGAACCTTTAGCCATTGTCAGCTCACCATGGGCGGTTGAGCTTCAGTTGCCGTTAGGCGGAGGCGAGACTAGGATTCAGGCTCTAGTTTTCTTCCCTTAAACTTTTGACTAATTGGATTATTAATTACATGTTGAAGATATGATTTGATTGTTGTGTATTGTGATTTGAGGATTGCTTTGTTCCAATATGATTATAACACGATGCATGATTTGAATTATGAAATGCTTTGTTGGATTGTGTTCGTTGTAAAATCAAATTGATTGCATCTTGAATGTTGGGTTTGAAAGCTGTGAATGATGGATTATGGTTTCCAATTGTTTCGATACTGATTACAATCTTGCTATATAGTGTCATTCAGTAAGCTTTCTACTATATATGATTTCATTTAATTTATGATTGTATTACAAGGATTATGGATTATGTTTATTCTCTTTGTACCAATTAGTGGTTTTAATTGATTGAGTCTATTTGTTAATTGAAGATAGTCTTTAACCAATCAACCTGTAACCAAGATAACAGAGAGACATGATAGATTATACTTGGTTGTAGAAAGACTTTTTATGTGATTTGCCTAGCCTTGTAGGTTTAGGAAATCTAAGAGTGAAAAGAAGAATTGTGTTCCAATTCTAAGTTGAGCCAAAGCCTTAGGGTAACACCTTTAATATTGTGTTTCAGCTAGTTATTAGATTTCTTGAAATTATTTTCTTAGGATACTGGTTGATTAAAACTTGTCATTTTTACTTCCGTTTACTCAATCATACCTTAGGTTGATAGTCTTTGCTCCCTATGGATTCAATCCTAATTACCGCTAACTACGTGACAACTAGTTCAACAAGGAATTCATTGTCCCTCATTTCACATATTAAATGAGTTATTTCTCTAGTCAGATTACTGTCTGAGATAAAAAATACTTTTATATTAGGTGGTGGAATTGGAGCTAGTCCTTCAAACAAGTTGGAACAAAAGTCAAGATATTGAAGGTTCTTCCATGGAAGTCGTTTAACGCCTGTCAACAAGTTTATGAATAATTAAACTCTAAATCCTATTTGTTAGTCTGATCCTCTGTTTTCCAAAGTTCCAGAGTCTGTACAAGTACACAATTAAACCAAAATGTGCAGTTAAGTCTTATAATAAATTTTTGAAAACAGACTGTAAATCAACCTAGATCATAAGAACAAAGAAAATCAAAAGATAGCCAACAAAATTCTTAACATAAAACTAACGTATAGCAAAAGAAAAAGGTCAAGATATTGCAAATAAGAGAGATTTCCAAAAAATATATAAACCTAAGTTCCTTCAAATTTTTAAATAATGGAGTGCAAAAGATTTAAT